ATACATGATTTGCTGTTTTGTTCGTTTGTTGTTTTCAGGTTTGTCTTTTGGACATTCGAGTTATTGTAGCGGTGTATCGGGATTCGGAATGGTTTTAAGACTGTCGTAGTGGTTTACGCCTTTCTGCAACTTAATGACCCTAAACCCTAAACTCTAAACCCTAGACCCTAAACCCTAAACCCTAAACCCTAAACCCTAAACCCTTTCTGCGACTTAGTCGCTCCTTGGGGGGCCAGAGGCCTGCCGGGTTGCGGACAAGGAGAGGGTCGGGCGAGCATCGACGGGCCCGACTTGATCCAGTAGGGTATGTGGTCTAGGGCTTCGGGTTTAGGGTGTAGGGCGTGTGTTTTGGGGACACTGCTGACAAAGTCGAAGATATCCTCGTCTGAGGAGCAGCTGAAGACGCTTTACTAAACCCTAAGTAACCTTAAAGCCCTAAACCCTAAAGCCGGTAAAGTGGATTTTTCGATGTCCTGGGGTTCTCTGGGCGTTTCAGGCGGGTGGTTCTGGAACGGTTCTTGGGACGCCCTTGGGCTACCAAAACCGACGTAGAGTACCGATAATTATTAGGGATAAATTCTCAGAACTCAAACCCTAAACCCTAAACCCTAAAGGAGCAGGTTATGGTTTTCGTAGGTTTCCCCTCGTCTCCTGCTGTGTAGTCCTTTTTTCTGGCAATAACCAGTTTATGTTTAGGAACCTATGAGGTACATAACCCAAAAAAGGAACTACCATGGAGAGGAGAGTTCGAGGTATGAGCTCTGGAATTCGAGGTGCCGTTTCCCGAACGGTCCATGTACCCAAATGGTATGTACGAAGTAGTCGTCCATGTCCCTTAAGGGTTCCTTGAAGGGTACGATAAGGGTTTACGGTTTAGGGTTTATGGTTTAGAGTTTAAGGGTCCATGTACCGAGATAGTATCTGCTTTGGTGGCCTTAACCCTAAGGGTCCATGTACCCACATAATATGTACTTTGGCCTTAATGTAGGTACTTTAGGGCCAGAGTTCTACTATTTGGGCACATGGACCCTTAGGGTAGCACAGTCCCTATATAGGTACTTTGGGGGCAATGTATCTACTATGTGGGTTCATGAACCCGAAGGTTTTGGCTATGTGGAGTCTACGTAGGCATCGCATTTTTTGCTCAGAGGCTCCTTCACTCTAGGGTATCGGGTTTAGAGGTGTAGGGTTTGAGGTTATTGAGCTGTTAAAAGCTGCGAATGTAAGTGAAACGATGCACGTAAGAGTGAAGCTCATATTCAGTTATGGTTCAGTGTAGCACCTGTCGCATTATGCCCATTGTTTACGTTGTTTCGATTTCAATGTTTTGTTCTGATTAGTCCCCTTCTTTCAGGTGGTTGTATTCCGTCTTACGGTATCCTGGCCGACACCGAAAAGTATCCTGGCCGACACCGAAAACAATGTTAAAAGGTTCGGCAAGTCCCTAATAACCCCAAACCTAAACCGTAATTCGCTAAATTCTAAACCCTAAACCCTATGATTAGCCCTAAACCCTACATCCTAAACCCTAAAGCCTTAACCTTAAGCCCTGAACATTCCTAAACCCTTTTCCCTAAACCTTAAATCCTAAACCCTAAATCCTAAACCCTAAACCCTGCACATCCCTAAACCCTAAACCCTAAACATCCCGAAAGCCTAAATCCTAGACCCTAAACCCCAAACATCCCTAAACCCTAAACCCTAAACCCGAAGCCCTAAATATCCCGAAACCCTGAACCCTAAATCCTAAGCCCTAAACCCTAAACCCTGAACACGCCTAAGCCCTAAACCCTAAACATCCCTAAATCCTAAACCCTAAACTCTAAATATCCCGAAACCCAAAACCCTAAACTGCTGCAGCCAGGCCCTAAACTCTAAACCCTAAACCCTAAACCCTAAACCCTAAACTGCTGCAGCCAGGGCCTAAACCCTAAACCTTAAACCCTAAACCATAAACTGAGGGCTCGAGTCTGGCGGTGGCGAGACTCGCACTGCTCGTGCCTTCCATTTCGCCGGGGGGCCTTGCTGGGTTTCGGGATTTATGGTTTAGGGTTTAGGGTTTCGAGTTTAGGGTTTAGGGTTCCGGGTTTACCCCTCCCCTCCTC